TTGGTTATATTTTCCACTTGCTACAAGTTATTGGCAGTTAAAATCTCTCACCGCTATCAGTAAAGTCTGCAAAAAAGGTTAATTGTTTAGTCTTTGTGGAACTATTTTCCTGTCTTTTATTCTTTCCATTAACATTAAAAATATGCAGCTCTTGTGCATTTTTTCCCTGTGTGCTGTCTTTTCCTCTGTTTACTTTCAGTCATCATCCTGAACCTTAGCTTAAATCTCTCACCTGTTGTCATGTTTTTTTACAATCACATTGAAAATGGATGTAGCATGAGCAAAGTATTTGAACTGGACTGAAGTTGAAGCAGATACTATTTGAATATGGAGAAATAATATTTCCATTTGTACATACTACGCTAATTGTTTTGACTATTTCCTATGGATTTATCTTTATCTATGTCTATTGATACTGTACTCGATGAACTGTTTTTATGAACCGATAGCAAATGGCCAGATCAGTCTGTAGATTCTATACTTTGAGACCTTGAGTGATTTTTCCAATCACTCCAGAAAGATTTTTTTTAAATATGAACCATGTTGTAGCTATTCATTCTTGATTTTAAATGACACATTTTGCTTCACTTTTAGGATGATGACTTGATTCTGCCATCTTTCTGTAATTTTTGCCTTTTTTGTATAGCTACAGTATATATACTGATGGAAAAAAGAAACACAACACCTCCTCCTCCACACTCTGTACCTCCTATCTGCGTGGAACTGGCTGAAGAGTGACTCATCTGCGAAGAGGACCTGATGCCACTGCTGACAAGTCCATCACAGCCTCTGTCTGGCCCAACCAGTTGGGTGTGACGTCTAGGAGGTGTGAGCAGAGGGCCTCTGACAGGTCACTTTGCTCTAAGGCCAGTAGAATGGAGTCTCACTTGTCACGATCGTAATCCCTCCTCTTAAGGGCGCGATTACGTGCACCTGCCCCCCATTCTGCCCCTCCTTATTTAAACCTAGCACTCTCGCTATTCTGGACTCAGCATTGGGAGATGGACGCCTGAAGCCCACCTATCTCCGCAGGAGTGACCCGACGGCATAGGCTTCATCATGGCGTCCTGACCATCTGAGTCCAGGGCTCAGAGCGTCTGGCCTCGTCATCCTGTTTTTATTCCCTGTCCCTGTACCGGATCCCGTTACGGTTTTTAACATTGTGTTGCTTCGTCTCGGATGGATCACCCAGTTTTGGACCTTGGAATTTGCCCCGGATTTCCCCCCTGGACTCCTTGGACTTGTCTGCCTTGGCCACGTCCCCCGAGCACTAGTCTGTCACACGCACCTGTCTGTCAACCTGCCCTGATCCTCGTCGTCTCCTCCCCGTTGTCCTACTCCACTTACTTCTGGATTATACTGTCTGCATAGGGTCCTGAATTACACTTCACGGGAGCCTGGACATGATCCTGCCATTCTGCTGAAACCTTTTCTGCAGTCAGGACACAGTGGAGCGGCTTACTCCATAGTTTCTGGCAATGCTGACACATGACATGCCTGCCTGCAGCATGCCAATGGCCCTCTCCCTTGCTTCTGTTGACATTCCAGGCATTATGGACCTGATCAGGCATTGTTCCACCTGGACCTCGTTGTGCAGAAGTGCACCTAACAAGCTTTTGTGTGATCGCCAAGTTGCAATACTTCACTGCACAAGCTGTATTGCTGTTCAGAGGGCTTAAAACAAATTTAAACTTTTTGTGAAAGTACATAAGCTATAACTATAGTATTCTCTGTTTGAAGTTTGTATATTCTACCTGCATTCGTGTGGTTTTCTCCTGGGTGCACCAGTTTTCTCCCACAGTCCAAATGCATGCTGGTAGATTGAAAGGATTCTGGAAAATTGGCCCTGGTGTGAGTTTGTGTTTGTTTATGTGTGTGCCCTGTGATGGACTGGCATCCTGTCCAGGGTGTATCCTACCTTGTTCCAGGGGAGGATTTTGGTATTTGTAGGCCCTAGGCACTCTCATGCCGAAATGTGAAAAATGAGGGTAAACGCCAATTGAATTACGTCAATTGACATGATGCACTTTAAACTATTGTAATGACCGAGAATTAAGCACACCCCTGATATGCCGGAAACAACACATTTATTTACCTCTGCCCTTCGGACATTGACAGATAGAGATTGAAACTCCTTGAAGGGGTTACACACACAGGGTAAGAATTAAGGAGGAGTACTTCAGTTTACAAAGCAGCAAACACTTGATAACTATTTACAATGGCTCCTCATAAACTCTCTACACTATTTACACTTTGAGGTCAATCTCCGGTCGACACACTGACCTCAAATCCAGCCTGCCTTGCGGGTGCGTAGCTAAGGGGAGATGTAGCCACTAAGGCGACCAGTGCAGGCGCTACATTATTCTAATGCTAAACCATCACTTCGATACTTCCAGTTTCTAGAACAGACGCTAGATAGCATATGATTATTGATTTGAAGCACCAAGAGTTGATCACAAGCATGTTGTTTCAGATTATTTTTCGTTTGCCATTAGTATTTCCCTTCTTTGTATGCCCTTAAAATTCCATAGGCCCTAGGCACTGTGCCTACTGTGCCTACAGTGCCTAATGGGAAATCAGGCACTGCCTTGTGCCCATTTATTACCTGGATAGGCTTCAGTCCCCCTGCAATCCTGTACTGGATAAAGTAATTAGGAATGGATGGCCGGATTACAATTATGAGTTATATGATAACACATGACTTTATTTTCTCACAATATTATGCTAAGAATAATATTATGTTGCAGTTTAGGATACTGTTTTGCTAATTATTTTTTTATTTTTAATAAGTGATTTTAAGCACTGACTTTTAATTTTAAGAAATACAACTATGATACTGTATATTACAGTTCTTCAGTTATTTATAACATGCTTATTTTCTGTCCTTTATTTAGTATGTATTTCAGGTACCCTTAAAAAGATAAAAAAGTGTAAATGTACATGCTTTTTTATTTTTTTCTTTCACAGTACATTACCTGTTTTTCAACTTTTATGCCAGTGGACAGATACCCATTAGCAAATATGAGACATTTTTCAACTGACATTGTTTCTTGTAATGTGTTTATGCTTTGTATGATTTTCCTTTCCAAATGTTCTGTTGAAATATTTTTTTCTCAGCAAGAACTGAAATAAAAATGCAAAGTGAAAAAAATGACAATAAAAAATGGTTTACTTTAACGTTTGTTGTATGACAAAACATCTGCCTTCATTTCTCTCTGTGAATAATTAATGTGGTATGTGAATACAGAAGGCCAGATGTACAGTAAGCTTCAATGACAGAAATTCTTAATAAGTGTATAAAAACCTAATCTTTAAGTGTATAAAAGGTGCAAATGGGAAGTAGGATAAGACAAAAAACAGATTCTTGTCTGAACCACATTCTCCATACTTCTGCAAGGCATGAGCTGCTTCCCTCAATAAATCTTTAATATGCTGTGGGAAACTGTAAAGGGTATGTAAAAAAATCATTTTCCAAGTGAAGCAGTATACAAATGTTTTGCTTGAAATTGCAAAAACCAAAACACAATGGATATTATATTTTTGCAAATTGGCTTAAACAGTAATTCATGCATTTAAACCCATTTTACTATCTTCTGAATATGAAGCATTGATATGTATCAGGCATGTTCATGAAGTTGTTAAAAAAAAAGAGTGATAAAAAAAGAGTCCAGCTCCCATCCAATTATTATTTTTTTCCATTGGAACAAATGTATAAATCCATCCCTTCCAGACACTGTCCTCAGCAAAAAGGAAGAAGCACCAGATGGATTTCATTGAAAAGGGTTCCAAAAACTAGCTAACTGAAGCCCAGAGCCAAGATTAAAGAGATGTTTCAGTGGAAACCAGATTGCATCCTTGCCTCCTGTTTACCCGAACAAAGTCCATCTTCAGAACTTAATAAAGCTTGTTTTACACTTGAAAATTCATGTTTTACTCATTTAACTATGTTAACAGCTTTTGCCTGGGAGTGTTAGGAACATGCAACAATTCCTTTTTGTCTTTTATTAAATGTATTTTTTATATTAGGGCATGTATTAGTCAATATTAATAATTTGGCCTGCAAGTACATGTAAATGTCTTGTTGGCATTTTTCACTGTTGCACAACGAAAATTGCAGAAGTGGGCTTTGAGCATTGTGGCATTACCTGCTTGCTCTCCAATACACGTCTTCTGATTCATGAGATATTAACCCATTCCCTGCCAGTTATCAATACAGAGCAGTACAGAGTGGTCTGCACTGCTTCAAAAGAGCATTTGTATTCTTTTCATGGACTGAATTTGTTTTAATATGTATTTATTATTTAATATATTACTAATAATATACTGTATACGTATTTATTTATGTCAACATTCAGCATTTAAAAACTCTTCCCCTTCAATGGGTTAATAACTCACTGCAAATGTCCATTTCCTCTTAAAAAGACTTTATGGTAGACTTTGTATGGTATAATGCAAAGTAAAATGAGAGGTCCAGATTCATTACATTTTTCACACTTTATGATATGCCATCTTGCTACAGAATGACCTCTTGCTTAAAGCAAATGTTAGGCAAAATAAGATTAAATTATTTTATATATATATTTATATAACTCTCTTACTTTAAGACCTCAGAGGCATAATACATGCATCTTTAGATTATAATGTCTGGCATGATTAACATCAATAAAGATACTATTGGAAATAATGTTTGGTGCCTGTTTCCTTTTTTTACTTCTTAAAATATATAGGTATTATGAGAAAATTATTTCATTATTTTTTTTCCTAAAGTCAGCAAAATTTACAGACAGTATATATTTTCAGTGTACAGTATTACATATTTACCAAACATTTGAAGCCAGTGGTTTTAAAAAAACTATTTATTGATCTGTATTTTATGACCTTACAGTAGATATTGCAAAGCTTAATTTGATTTTTTTTAGTTTAAGTCATATATGGAATTCAGTAGAATTGTACAAGGTCATGTATGCCACAATAAACAAGGTAACCATAAACACAACATCTTAAATTGCTGTTTTATTATTTTTTTAAAACGTTATCATGAGATGCATGCAAGTAATGGAAAATGTTGCATAAATGTTTACATGATATAAATGAACGGAAATCTGCTTATGAGAATTTGTCAGCTATGATTGAACTGCAACGTGACACAACTCCAAAATCAGTAAAAGTCTGAGTATTTTTACACATCGCATTTATTCAGTGTTCAGCTGTTATTTTCCCATTGCCCAGAAGACATAAAAACATACATTTCATTTTGCTACATTCATCTAGAGGCATCAGATACCAACACCATAGTGATTTTAGCTAATGCTTTGAAAGACCAACATTTACATTTCACGGTCCACAAAATAGTTTTATTTTCTATACAGGAAGGTTGCTCAATGCCTTTCAGAATTTGTTGTGATTATATTGGCTTGTGTTTAATGCCATCTATTAATTATTTATCATTTGACTTTTCTCCCTGCAGCACTAGATAATCACAGCTATTAGTATGTGTTCTAAAGCTTTTCTATGTAAATAAAAGACAATCTTACAAAAGAAAAATGGGAATGAAGCAACAACAAACACAATACTTTTGAAAGCATACTATATAATATGCTAATATGAAATTAATATTATGTTCAGTAGCTCTTTGATAATACAGGTTATCCCAATGTGTGTTTCTACCAAAAGATAGGAAAAAAGGTTCATGCAAATCCTCATCCTGGTGGATCAGGATATTACTATCGTATTACTATCATGAAATTACTATCAGCTCAGGCATTAACCTGTTAGTAAGTACTGTTAAATCAAGAAATTATTATTATTTTCTCAAAAGCTTTGAACTTTGCTTGAGTGTACAAGTGTATTATTTGTTATCTGACTGGAGAATTTAACGCTTAGTTTATGTATTTATTTGTCATTAATTTTGCAATTTTCAGAGGCTGACTGTGGAATTTCTCAGCGCTAGCTTTCTGGAAGTGAAGGACTACTGCATAGAACTCAGAAAGAGAATGAAGGAGGCCTCAAGTTTTGTTTTTTTAAATTCAAGCATTTAGTAAAGTATAAGACATGACAGTACTAAATACAGGCTGTCCAATGCTGCAACAATGAAACCAAGTTAAGATCTCAAACATTGTTCAAAGCCTTGGATATAGACATTTTAGGTCAATTCTGTTGTTAATATAAGAGATGTAGCTCAGCGGAAAGACCTTGACAAGGTTTAACATTGAAAAATGGCTTTATAAAGTAAGGTAAAAGTTTAAAGAAGCCATTAGTCAAGTATGACTTCACTGGCTTGGCGCAGACAGTTGGCCATGTCCACTGGCAGGTTGTTCCTTGTCAGATTGTTCCCATCCAGACGCAGATGTCTCAGTCTAGAGTAGTTTAGAGGCCCAGTAATCTTGCAGAAGCTTGACAAATCAATCTCTGAAAATATAAAAATAATATTTAATTATTTTCTTTTCACAGCTTTATTATTCAATAATGTGCTGTCAGATTCAAATGAAATATACATATCATTGTGTGATTATTATTTAGATTCTGACTAATGTTTAGTGAGTCAATATTATGCGAGACTGAAGTGAATAGAAACTTACTGTAAACGCATATCAAATTTCATATATGAATATACATTAATAACATGAAGTGCATTTTTAGACGTGTGGTTGTGTATTCTTTTAGCATTCATATTCTTAAAATAATGTTTTTAAAGTACTTCAGTCTTATTAACATGTACCTTGGTTCCAATAATTTGAAATGCTTCTGGTTAGAAAGTATTTGCTGAAGGTAACCGAGTTAAATATTATACACTGATTCTAGAGTATGGTGTGACAGTACTGTATTTTCTGCCATATACAGCTACATGAATGTAGCTTCTACTTAGGCTTTTCTGGTTTCATTAACTAAACATGATGGGCTTTCCTTCTGTACTCTGATTGCAATAGAAATTACTAATATAATGAAAAAGAGAAAAACGTCTCTACACATTTATTTAATACTTGATTAATATACCGTATGGTATAAAGTGGCTTGGTAAATGACATAACATGATTTCATTAATATAATGCAAAGTTGCTTTAATATAGAGTTATAAAATTATTGAAAAGATGGGGTTGTAAAATTATAGATGCAAATTTCATTGTGCAATTTATCATTAAATTAAAATATATTTTATTGTATATCTTACTTTTCTTATGATTTTTTTCTAAAACATATATGAGGTTCCAGTTATAAGAGTTAATGTATATATTATAACCATTTTACATTGTGATGGCCTTGCCATAAAAACAAATTTTAAACTTCTTGAATAATTAAGGAAATTATATTTACAGTATTTACAATATTTAGATCAATATGTAGATTATTTTCGTAATTGTTGTGTTGATTACTTATTAGGAAAAAAGCATGTGGTAACTAGGTGTGGCAGTAAAGGTTTTAGGAAGAAAGGTTTAAGGAATATTGCCCTAGTGTCTGTATATTTCAGAAATTCACACAAGAGAAAAGTTGCCTTTGTAGTTAATTTTCAGGGATTTGGGTGATAAATCCTTTTCTCTGAAAAAGTCATATAAGGCAGTAGTATAAAGCAGTAATTAAGATAATTTTGTATATATTTTCAGCTACATGATTTCGTGGTACAGTATCTTGTGTTTTAGAAAAAAATACTAAAATCAAAAGAAACTCACTGTTGATGTTGTTAACCTGCACATAAAGATTTTCCAAGTTCTCATTTATGGCTGGGACAGACTGAAGCTTATTGAATGACAGGTCCAGTTCGATGAGAGATGAGATGTTAAAGACATTTTGTGGGATGCCAGAATCAACCAGCTGATTGTGGGAGATTCTGAGATACTGCAATTTTGGAAACTTCTGGAAGTAACCACTGGGAATGCTGGTGACATTGTTGTGATCAATATAGAACATCTCTAGTGAGCTTGGCAGGTCCATAGGCAGTCTTTTAATTTTATTGTGGCTTAGGTCCAAGTATGCGAGGGATTTGACTCCCTTAAAAGCTCCTGCGATGGCATCATCCTTCAACTGATTTTCCTGAAGGTGAATAGCTGTGAGGTTCTCCAGTCCATCTAAGAGGCTGGAGGGGAACTTTGAAAGCTTGTTGCCAACGATTTTAAGCTCATTCATTGTTTTGGGGAGAGGTCCAACAGGCTCTGTTAGGTTGTTGTAGCTGATATATAGTTTTTGCAAAGATTTTAACTTGGAAAATGTGTTTTTCCCTATATTGCTGTTAACAATCTGATTGTTGTCAAGGATAAGCCAAGATAACTCTGTTGCATTATCAAAAATGCCACTCTTAATTGAATCAATTTGATTGTTTTGTAGGTAAAGGTACTTGATTCCTGAAGGCACAATTGGTATGTACTTTAATTTGCGGTTGTCACAATACATGGCACTTGGGAAACTGACTGGACAGTTACATTCCTGTGGGCAGTTTGGTCCAGAGGGTCCTAGCACCGGTGATGGATGGTCATAATAAGCTCCGTAGTCATAATACTGGCACAAAACAGAGCTCAAAAGTGCTGCGAAAAGTGGGAGATGGAAATGATTCATTTTAATGCCGTGCAATAAAATCTGTTTGGGGAAAAAAAGAAAAAGAAGTAAATTTTTTATTCATTTTCTTTTTTAGATCTTTATCTTTATACATGGTTTTTGTGTTAAAGTACTGTCTTCTTATGTACACCATATTTTTTTAAGAAGCAAATTGAATTAATTTGTTGTTACTTAAAATCAGACTTTTTCCAATAAACTGCTGTATAAGATGGGACACAAGAGTTTAAAACCAAAACAGTTATTTTTAAACACTGCATTATACCACATTTAAAAAATTTCTGCTTCTCGTGTGTAATATTCATTGTGTAGTCTTTTCTATTACTGTATGTCACTGACTTCAGCATTCTTAGTGCTTTATAGTATTAATCTACTATTGTAAAAATGCACTTTTATTATGAAACGTATATTAGACACATCATATCACAATTCATTGGCTCATTTTCCCCCTCCCTTTTAAACTTTTCATCACATTTGAACTAAGACAATCTGCTGAGCTATGGGAACATTGTATTCAGCTATGCTTTGTGAACTGTTTTATACAGTAGAAAGTTTAAACTGATATTATAAAATCACAAGATTGAGGCATTGCTGCTTTTCATGATGTGTGGTGAACTTTGATGGCTTGTTTAATGGCTAACAGCTGTTGTTTTTCATTGTTGGGCTAAGTGTAGTGTGGCTTTTTTAACTATGACTGAGGTTGCTATCTATGATAAAAACTTCTTTTAACATTGTATTATCCTACCCTGCCCCAACAGAAAATAATCTGGTTGAGTGGTCTGTTTAAGTTCCATGTGGTCAATTTGTCCCATTTTGTTTATATCTGACAACTTAATTACAGTATAGCTGCAGATTAAACTGAGCTCACTCATAGCTTTGGTATTCTTAATCATAAAACAATAAAACATAAGTGGATGTAAACATAAAAATTGTATTGTTTCAGATAGTTCTAGGACCTCATTTCTGTTGAAAAAAAAAAACTGTATATTGCTTCCAGTTACACAGTATCCTAAAGCCTGCCAACTTAGTTGTACATCGTGCAATGGGTTGAAAATATTGAATGATACATAAAACTGTTTTTTTTAATTTTTCAGTGTAAAGGTCATGAAAAGTTGAGGTGTATAGTCTTTGCAAATCATACATTTTTAAGTGATCACTTTCATCACTATTAATAATAAAATTATTATTGTTGTTATTACTACTACTGCTGCTGGTTCAATATCACAATCAAGCAATATGAATGTGCTCATCGTGGATATTTATTTTTAATTTACTTGTTTGCATAATTGATTATATTATATGTGTACTGTATAAACAATATTAAATGATTTTATTTTGGTTAACAATTCATTGAAATAAGCAAATCTTTCGCACACCTTTTCTTATTATTTCTATAGTTCTTTATTGTTATCCATAGCTGTGCTCCTGCCACTAAAAACATTTTGTGACGTCTTGAGAATATGTTTCCTATTAATGAGTCATGAGGCCTTAATAATTATAAGACTGGAACTGAACCCAAGGGTTCAGAAGTAAGATTGTTTCCCTACATACTAAATAGTCCTCATTAGTGTAATTTCTGATTTCTTATCAAACATGCATTTCAATAAAAGCAAAAGCTGTTAGAACTAAAAAGAATAAATTATATACAGTATATCCAGTACATTAATTCAACCTCTAAATATATATTTTTCTATACATGTTTCATCACTCAGCTACATCAGACTGGAAGTACTTTACAGTTTCTTAAAAGTCATAGGCTGTTATAAGCCAAATTTGCTATTTATGGTAAAAATTGTTCTACATTTTTGTGACTGACAGTAGCAAAAAATGCAGTCTACAAGTACAAGCCCATTATTGGAGCCTCAGATAGATATACAGTGGCTTGTGTTTCAAGAACTTAAAGCCTGCAGGGCTTCTGAAAAAAAAGAGCCAGAGCTCCAAACAGAGATGCTCATCATCATCAAAATCTCTGTCAATCACTTGCCAAGCACAGCACATTCATTTGATGTTCTGCTGATACACCTAATGATCAATAATATAAAAATATATTCGCAAAAGTTAGGATCAAATATGTTATAATATGCATACAAGTGTAAAACTTTAAGTTTGTTTCTGCACCATATATTTAATGAGCTCTGTGACCATCTGAAGCACTTGCAATGTTTACCTGTGTTCTACTATGGTTTTAACATGGTAATAATGACAAAGTTCTCTGCCTTGTTTAAGAAAAGCAGATGGATCTGATGCCCCTTGTCTCTAGTTCATTGCAAATGAAAATAAGAAAAACAATTATAATGTTGCTATGTTAAACCATAAAACTACCTTACAGTATAAGACCAGAACAGTAATTTGACTTGTGTCTGAACACCTGCAGTAATCATAGACATCCCCTGAAGCTACACATAAAACAGTCAGATGGACCTGTTAACTTTTCCAAACTCTGGCAAAAAGTAATAGAATTTTCTAAACCTTTCTGGGCATTCACATTTCATGTACAGTATATGTAGATAATATGCTGAAAGCAAAGATAAACAATAGATATGAGTAGCATCATCTTCTTCCTAAATGCATATACTCTATATGCTGGACAGGACACATATTATAATTACACATAAGACTATAAGTGTAAAAAAATAAAGCTCATATTATAAATTATAAAAAAGTCCACGTTTATAAGCTGATTTTATGAAAAAAAAAGCATGCCAGTTTTTTATAAATATATTTATATTTAAGATTTCAAAGAAGATCTATCAGAATTAGATAAGACAAGAAATATTGTCTGAGACAAACGTGAAGCATCTATAGATTACCTACATAAAATGCTTAAGATTGCAAACGTCTTTTAAAACCTGTCAAAAATACTAGTTAGAAACTAAAGTCAACATATTTTGCTATCTAAATTATAAAACATAAGTACAACTGGAACTCCAATATGTAACTTTTCCATTTACATGTTACACCTTTATACACTGCTACACACTGCAGTCTGTAGTTACAGAGGAGTTGCAGTGGTTTTTTTTTCAATCCACAGTCCATCTGCATTCTGAGTTTCAGATGGGAATAAGAAAAAAAGTACCCATAAACTGCAGGACACGTTTGCAAAAGCACTTACCTTCTTTGCACCTCTATGGTGTGTCTGATATCCCAACTTCAGGAGCAGTAAGGTAGCGTTCGTTGTCGGAATAGGGGCTTAGGAGGAAGCAAGCAGCCCGTGCCAGACCTCTGTGGTCCTGAGCTAACAAAACACAGCAACCAAATGTAGTCACGCAGCACTATAAAGCTGCTATGTCATCAATATGGGCTTACGGTGTGGCATAAGAAAAATATGGCTCACTAACGAAATGCAGGTGCACAAGGGTCACACATCTGCTACCGCGATGATTCTTCAGTGTCTTATAAGAGAGGAATTACATATGCATACCTGGCTGCATCTGTTCTTTTTTAGTGAAACTTCAATTAGTTCGAAGAAACATAAAATAATTTATCTGTGTGCTAAAAAAAGCAGCCTCACAAACTTCCGTAAGCCTCTTAATCACCTTTCCAGAAAAATCAAACAATAGTTTAAAAAATGGAAAAAGGTGAAAAAAAATCAGCTGATGCCTTTACTGGGAGCCAACAGCCTATGGCTTAGAGAAACATAATTCAGCAGTCAAAGCTGAGAATTGTATTTAAAAAAAGACAGAATGGGCTAACTAAAATTAATACTAATACTATTAACTTCCAAAATCTTTATTTTTCCCTTCTTCTCTATTTTGAAGACGTAATACCTTCCATGGAGAAACAAGGTATGGACCATGTCCAATAACTTACAGATGGCAAAACATAAATCAACACATCTCAGTTTCTTTTCATCTTCTTTCACATCAAAAGGCCCATATTCATTATCAGCAGCATCTGACTCTAAACTGCAGTTTTACCCTGCACTTCATCAGGAATAATGAAACAATGGCAAAGGTTAGTTTTTGATTTTGATAGGGAGAACTCTGTTTTTTGAAGATGTTTCTCTTCCCCCTCCTCCCCCTGTCTTCATACCCTCCCCCCTCTATCCCAAATGTTACTGACGTCTGGAATCAATTGAGTATAGCCCATTTCTCTTTTTTTTCATGCATGCCAAACAAGAATGCAGGCTTGAGTGCTGGGTGTTAAATCTTCAGATGCAAATGTGAACCTCTACAGCTAACCTCATTCTCTAGCAAATTTAGAAAACTGTGAGTCAAAGTATATTATTCTTTACAATATACCTTCAATGTTAAAAGATGTTTCATTTCATTATACTGTAAATTTATTTTAATCTGAGACTAAAAATGAATTTCTATGGTGATGACAAAATTTGCAAAGTCTGTATTCATTTTTTATGCTTTTTTTGCTATGAGAATGTTTAATCAAAGAAATTACACTTGCTTTCAAAGCTACTTATTCAATAGTAATAATGGACGGAAACAATTAAAACATATTTAGAAAAAGATATACAGTATTATATTAATTATTAAATTATTCACTGCATTTATAGTTTTGTAATGAAAAACGACAACAAAACGTCTCAAACATAGGTTGTTATGATTCAGTATTGGCTTATGAACACCTGCCTAGTCCACTGATCACAATTCCTTTTAGTAATACATACAGTATGTCCAAAATTATCGTCACCTCATAAAGATGAGCTTAAAAGTCTGTATAAAATAAACATCACAGGTAATGAGCTATGTTTAAATTTTCCAACTTGCAGAATGCTGTATATTTTGACTTTGTTAATGATTCAATGGTAGAAAGCTAAATTCCACATTTCTCAAATTATAAAATTGATATCCGAAAAAATAAGTGTAACAATTATTGGTACCCCTGCTTTCAGTACTTTGTGTAACCTTCCTTTTGCATGATAATAGCACTGAACCATTTCCAATAATGTTTTATGAGACTGGAGAACATATTGGGAGGGATCTTATACACCCCCATTCTTCCATACAGAATCATTCCAGATTCTTTATATCCTTGGGTCTGGGCTTATGGACAGCCCTCTTTAATTCAGGTTTTCAGTTGGTCCAGAGACTGAGATTTTAAAATGTTAATTTATAGTTGTCTCACCATTTCTTTATGGATTTTAATATGTGCTTTGGGTCATTAGCCTACCCCTAAGACATTTCACTGCCAGACAAATATCTTGGTATTTGGTAGAATTCATGATGTTGATGACCTTAACAAGGGCCCAGGAATAAGTAGAAGCAAAATAGTCACATAATAGCTCTGATTCACCACCATGTTTTTCATTACCAAATTAATAGTTCACAAAGAAATACTTAAAATGTGCATAGACATATATAACAAGGAAATACTACTGAAAGGCAGCTGTACTTCTCAAGGATCATTAATGATAGTGGTAGAAATCCAAGAGTATTATTCTTTACTATTGATCGCCTATTAAACTCATCACCCCCCACTGATTGGGTTATCCTGGTGTCTTCATCAAAATGTGAGAGGTTTGTGTTGTTTATGATAAGAAAACTACAAACATTCAATCTAGTATAAGCCACTCCATCTGAACTAGCATATAATCCTACAGTTACTTAACCTTGGTATGCTGTGACTACATTCATTGTCTCAAAGCTAAATTCTTCAACCTGCTCTCTTGATCTGATTCCAACATTTTTATTTAAAGACGTCTTAGATAGTCTAATAGTGTACTAGGTATTTTGAACTGTTCCTTAGAAAGAGGTATTTTTCTGAAGAACTTAAAACTGCTCTAGTCAAACCCCTGCTTAAGAAAAGTAATTTTGACTTCTTAATTTTGAGCATTTCTAGCTTGCATTTTCTGGCAAAATCTTAGAAAAGGTAGTGTTTAAATGACTTCCTGTATAAACAAAATATTCCTGAAAATCTTGTCATAGCACCAAAACTGCAAATAGTAAAAGTGGTAAATGATCTGAGACTGCATGCTGACGATGTCTCAATTCTGTACTTTTAGATTTCCGTGTAGGATTAAACACTATAGACCCTGTATACTCCTGAAACACCTAGAAAACTGGAATCGTATCTCTGAAACTGCCTTAAAATGGTTTAATACTTATCTAATCGTATAACACATTTGTCTCAGACAATATTTCTTATCTTAGCTAATTCTAATAGATCCTCTTTGAAATCTTATAAAAACTGACATGTTTTCCCCCATAAAATTCATCTTATAAATATGTAATTTCAAATAAAAATATGAACTTTATTTTTTTAACCATATAATATAGTATTATGTGTAATTATAGTATGTGTCCTGTCCAGCATATAGAGTATATGTATTAAAGAAGAAGATGATATTATATAAATAATATTTTTTCTGGATACTTCACTCAAAGCACTTTACAGGTAATGGGGACTCCCCTCCACCACCACCAATTTGCAGCATCCACCATGATGATGTGATGGCAGCCATAATGTGGCAGAATGTTCACCACACATCAGCTATAATTGGGGTGGAGAACAAAGTGATAAAGCCAATTCATAGATGGAGATTATTAGGAGATAATAAGTGCTAAAGGCCAGGGGGCAATTTGGTCAGGACGCCGAGGTAACACCCCACAATTTTTTAGAAACACCCTGGGATTTTTAATGGCCACAGAAAGTCAGGTCCTCAGTTTTATGTCTCATCAGAAGGACAGCGCCCTTTTACAGTATAGTGTCTCTGTCTCTATATTGGGGTGGGAGCCACACAAACCACAGGTTGAGCTCCCCCTGCTGGCCCCACTAACACCTCTTCCAACACCAATATTAGCTTTTTTCAGAAGGTATTCCATCCAGGTACTGGCCAGACTCACACCTGCTTAGTTTCAGTAGGCTGCCAGTTATGTCTATAGAGAGTTATATCACCTTATATCTAGGGTGATATACTGCTGTAGCTGCTGGCTTTAATTATATTTTTCCCTTGTATTTTATGTTGACATTTTATTTTTCTTAATTATCTTTAATCTTTTTCTTTTGCATCAATACAATTTTTCTTTAATTTCTTGTTTTTACTATTTCACTAGGAATTTTACACCGAAGATCAAAGTGTGATGAACTATTATGGAGCAGATATTGGCTTAACTCGCTTGACTGAGGGTCGACCTCCTGGCCATAGGACAAGGAGGCCAGGACCCCCACGCAGGGTAACCAAGGGGTAGCTATGGAGGTGGAGCTGGGGTGGAGGTGGGATGCAAAAGTCGTACGTGAGGGAGTGATGGGAGTGATTGTTAATTACTGACAGCTGAGTACGACTGAGCGTGGTCGTTGTCATCCCTCCTGAACTTTAGTTATAAACTCCATTTATTTTTATATCTGCTATTACTGTTATTATCATATTCTTTTATGTATCCTCTCATATTTTGTGTTATTTTATGCTCACTATGTAAAGCAATTTGAGCTGCATTTTAATGTAGAAAGGTTCTAAACAAATAAAATGATTATTATGTTCTTTTCTGTATATGTATCCTTCTGTTGATGTAGGATCCACCGCTGCTGTACAGCCCATACAGCTCTTTTTTCATCTCAGCTGACCATAGCACCCAGTTCAAATCTACTACTGAGGCTGTTTAGCAAACTCCAACACATTTGTTTGTCACAAGCACAGCCGGCATCAATTAATCCTCATTATTCAATCTCTTCTTCCTTCACTATTTAAACCCTCCGTTCACTCCTAGTCCTCGCTTGTTATTAGGAATCTATCCGCCTCCTGAGCTTGCTTCGTCCTCAAATGTCTGACCACTGACACTTGGGACCTTTCGACAACCCTTTCGTCTCGCCCTTTTTTGGATTTGTTTGCCTTGCTTAACCCGCATTCCGACCTCTAGCCTTGGACCTCTTGGAACTCTCTTGGATCTTTTTTTCTGTTATACATTCCAAATAATCTATTGGCATGGAGGCGTCATCTAACTGCAGTTTTGGATAGTTGGTGGTCCCTAGATGTAACGTAAGGTCAGCACGTCTCCTCTGGACCTTACAATTTCCTTTGCCTCCTCACTATACACTAGAGAATGTAGTTTCTTTATATTTTTTAGCATAAAATTTCACTTATTACACGTATTTATTTTATACAGCATATGCTTGCTCATCTTTATCAATGGTACCAATAATTTGGAAGTGAGTCAGATGAAGAAGCTGATAAATTGAAACTGTATGGTGTCCTACAAGCCCTTTCAATCACATAACATATTCATGTCAAATCTAGTTACGTTGTACTCAAACGATGGTGTAAAACAAACACTCCACAGTATCAAAAGTTGTTAAAATGATTAAAAGAGAAAAAAGTCCAGTCTTCTAATCAGAAGAACAATGTTGCACATAAAAAACCTCACTGACATTCTTTATAGTTATTTTTTCAGAGCAATAATTTATTAAGTTCGAGGAAAAGAAGTGCACTACAAAGAAAGGTCTGCACTAAATTAAACCACCTTTGTCCATGGTGCTCCAGAAGGTGGAAATTTGTTTAAAGAGAGCATGGGCCCCAGTGGGTAGAGTAATAAAAGAAAAGCAAATGGCACAAAGATGCACAAGCAAAAGTCACTAGTTCAATTAAAAAAACTAAAATATTTTCCTTTTGTCACCACTGGTCCCTTTCTTCCATATTTTGTGTTCTCAATAAATATACTGTTGGAATATACAGTAATAGTGTTTATTTACTACTACATACAGTGGATTCATAGTCTTCCAATTTAGCTAAGGATTTTCTAGCTTTGCTGCAATGCTTTAATCCAGTGGTTTAAAACTGTGGTACTTAAAACTGTGGTACATATAACCATATAACCCTGGGAATATGTTGTGTGCACTGAAAAATTGGGAATTAAAAATTGAATAATTAAAAATTATGTAAATTTTCCATCTATCGGTTTCAGAAAGTTTGAGAGGGGTTTTCATATTTTCTATTTTCATAAAATTAGTTTGTGTGTCAAATACGCAGTGTACGTACTATGTTGATACAGCTTAGGACCACAT